AAAATGCAAATTTCTTTGTAAAATAGCTCTAAAGCTTTTGTCTTAGGAAAACAAAACAACAGCAAAAAAATTCAAACAAAACATAAGAGCAAATTAAATAAAAGTTTTTAAAAATGTTATCAAAGGAAATAGAAACCATTAAGGGAAGATTCTTCTTAATTTAGAGTGCTATGCTATATGCCTGTTAGACGATGATGATGATGATGATGATGATGATGATGATGATGGTGCCAAAGATGATAGCAGAACTTAACGGTTCCTTCCTAGTGCCAGACTCTGAATTAAATGCTTTGACTGCATCATCTCATTGCATATCTACCACTACTCTAAGATATAGGTAGCAACATTATCCATGGTTTGCAGTTAAATAAAGCAAGGCTTAGCTACTTAAAATAAGTAATGTCTGAGGTGTCTGAATGAAGAGTGGCAGGTGCAAGGTTCAAGCACAAGCTGTATGACTCCAAAGACCTTGAACTCAGTTTCCATGGCATGTTTTTCCATGTATAAACCATGAATGATCTACGTCAGTGTCAGTGGAAAATGGAGGCTCTTTGGCCTCACACTAAACCTTAAATATTTATGTTCAATGCTAATAATTAAAATTGACCAACTTCACATTAAATATTAAAGCACACTTTCAGTGCATATGCTCATTTAACATCTGTAGGTGCATCTGTAAAAACAGAGAATGAATACCAAGGAACCATTTCATCCTTAAAATACATTATTAGACTGAAACAGAGATAATCTGTGACTACTTGATTGTCTATGAAAATTGCCTAAATATCATGGCTTGATAGAGAATGACTTCTTTTTACTCTGTGTAAAGTTCTTTTAAATGCATTGTAATCCAGTGGTTCTCAACTATTTGCCTGTCCTTCCACACACCCAAGTAATACAATGCAGCCCTATCAGAAAGACTGACTAAAACAGTGATCGAAAATGAGTAAGGAAGAATGTGTGTGCGAAAAAGAATGTATTGGTGGAGGAAGTAGTTAATTAAAATGACTTCCCTATACCATTCTGATATAACACCTAGGTTAGCTGAGAATCTTTGATGTAATTTTTGTTAACAATTACTACTGCTAATTTCAATAACATGAATTTTTTTTTTCATCTTAGTGAAAAAAAATCATAGAAAACATTACTGGTGAAATTTATAAAAATATTTATCTATAAACCAAATATCACATATATAATAATAATATATACAAAACTGTCAGATATTAGCCAAGATGAGAGTCCTTTGTATCTTATTTTATTAAAAGGAAATTAAAAAATTACTTGCTATTCAATGAGGGGAAAATAATATACTTTCAATACAAAATTGTAGTTAATACTTTTTACCATGTAGTCAATATTTAAGAGAAAAAAGGTTTATAATATAGTGTCTATGCTGATACAGCATATGACTTTTATATGAATATAATGTATAGAAAATAGCCATTTCAGAGATTATTTTATAATTTAGTACTGTAAGTTCTAAATATTTTGATGCTGAAAAATCAATGATCAATTCCAGTTTAGACTGACAGATGTCCTCAAATTAAGATGTCAGATATTGAATTAATCATTTAAAATAAAATCATAATACCAAATGTTGCTACAAATTGTAATGGAAATTGTCATATCAATTAAGATGAAATCAGTAATGATCCATATGTTATAAAGTCATAATTGTACAGCTGAGTCATTACAGAAGCACTTAAGTTTTATGTGTTCATGAATAGACCGTTGACATTTTAACTCTTTTCCTATTTTTGGTTCTATAAAAATAGTGATATGAAAGAAAAATACACCATTTTTGTTACCAAATTTCATGGTGTTTTGAGATAAAAAATAACTTATTGCAAGTGGATACACCCTGCAGGTCTCCATAATCACAGCTCTACATCTCCATAAGAGTGCACGATTATCACAATATAGTGCACAGAGCCATCATTTTCTTTGTAACTTTTACAAAGCCTCGTGAAATCTTGCCTGTATTGAAGCCCTCTGTGAGCATTACTTATCAACCCTACTGAACTATAAGTTCTTTGAAGGTAGAGTCATAGTGTTCATCTTTGTTTTCATATTTGTAGCATAGAGACTTGAGAATGGTGGATTTTGAGTAAAAAAAAAAAGGAGTTTTCTGTGCCTGCTCTTTCCATAAATGCCTTGAGCAGAGAGGTTATAAAAACAGCTATTTCATTTCCATGCTATAAACCATAAGAGAGCCAGGACCTGTGGTTTCTGTAAGCCGTTATCACAGAACTGTACTATTTGTAGTTGTCATAAACACTTACTTCAATAATGGAAAAATTTAAAAAGCATTTTCTTGCGTGGATATGATTTCATTAAAAATTTTCAAGTTTCTTCTCTCCAATACATTGTGAGAATTACTTCATTTGCTTATTCATCACCTACCACATGCAAGGTTCTAAAGGAACAGGAGAGAAAAATATAAACATGTCCCCTGCAGCACGCACAGACCTTACCAAGCATCTCAGAACTAAAGCAATCAGGATTCAGTCTTAGGATGCTGAGGGAGGAAAGAAACATTGTAATTTAGGATAGAGGAAGTAAGAGGTGGGGTCAGGAATGTAAGACACTGCTCTGTGGGCCCCACCAAAGCAGTGCAGGATTCTGCTGTAATGTAGAGTTCTAGGTGCATTGTTTGCAAAGTCAGTTTCTGAAATAGAAATTGTGAATTATGCTTTTTAATATAAAGTCAGCTCTCCTTCTTGAACATTGCATATAATGAAACAGGCTTTTATTGTTATTAAGGATTTTGTAGTGCAGATCTTATGCTAAAAGAACCAATGTTAGGGGTTATGTAAGGTGGGAAAGGAGAGGCTGAAGTAGTAAACCTACTGGTGTCTCATCTGAGCATGGTTCCATGTGTCTGGAATCATGTCACCAATCCAAAGTCAGGAAATCTCTAAACTTAGTTCAGAGACAAGGGGTATGGATATACAAAGGTAGACTTGGTTAATAACCTAAATTAAGTGAATATCATCAAAAACTATTGATTTTGCTAAAGTACTTAATTTAGGTAACCCAAATTAGACTAATATGTTGTATATTAATTATCTAAATTATACTTACATTCTATGGAAATAGCTAATAACAGAATTAATCAATTTCTTATGTTAATTGAGAATTATAAATCAAATTATATCTTACATTTCTGTTCACATTGGCATTTTAATTATTAAACCGCAACAATTAGATATTTCAGTTAATAAGATTTCTTATTTTTACTAAAAGAGATCAAGAAAAATATAATAAAATTGATTTTTAATTCCAAACTACAAAATGTTTTTCTATGTAGCTAACCTTCTAAACAATACAGAGTGTGATCTTTAATGACTGTTTAAAAATGTAAATCTAGGACACATACATAGCATAATTATAATATACATGTAAACTTAATTAAATTTTACCTACAAAGAGGGAAATTTAGTTTAACACAGTTTAAAAATATGTATAATGAGTGCTGAAATAAAGAAATATTCCCTTTAAACATAGTTTCCCAGAGAAATTAGAAGTAGGATTATTTTCTTTTATTAAGAGAAACTGAACTTGACAAAATTTTCTAGTGCTCATCTTAGGCAGAACTCACTTCCTCTGTATCAGTAGTTTTTTGTGAGTTTTTATATGCATTCTCTCTGAATACAAGAAAAGAGAGGCATACTCTGCAATTTCTAAATAAAATCATCACTGTCAGAGTTTCACATATACCTTAATGGTAACTTTTCTCTTTTTGCTCCTACAACCCATTTAACTAATGCAATAAATACTTTAATACCTTCTGCTTTTGATTCCAGTAAAATGCCCTTGAGCCCCCTTCCTTTCTTTCATGGCAATATTAACATCTAAATATAATTAATAATCAATCTAACAGTTGGACTTGAGAATCTGTCTTATCTCCCCTTATATTTCTTATACAACTTATTTTAGGCTCACAAAGGACATACTTCTGAAAGCAGACTTAATGGACTCCCAAGAATGGGCTAGGGTGAGACAAGTATGAGAGGTGAAGAAAATAACACTCTCATGTCTTGAATATTGTCTTGACTTTTCAAAAATTAAGAATAAAATAGTTTCCAATAAAAATGAATATAAATTTTTCCTTAATCAGAGGAGGAACTTAGGATCAACTAAAAGAACCTCCAAATTCTTTTCATCTTGATTTCATCAGCAGAGTTAAATTAGAGAAGTCACTGTAACTCTAGTGGTGCATTAGGCAATTTTACAAACAAAAATTTAGTCATGCACTGGACTACTTTAAAGTTTTCATATAGTAGATATGCTAAATCTCCCCAACATTTCACCAATGTACAACCAATATTCTAAAGTGAACAAAATGTGTTCAAGCTTTTAGTCACATTGAAAAGGTCAATTTAAAATTTATATAATAGAATCAGCCTGCATTAGGAATCTATTTTCCAAATTACTGGTATGGGTGTTCTCGTAAATCTGAATGTTGACAATAAACTTTTCTGTAGGAAAATGGTCAACTCTAAATATATGAAATCAAAGCAGATTTATGCTGAGTCATCTTTGAAAAAGGCATGGTAATATTAAAGTCTGGTTGACAAGATTAAGCTCTTTTAATAAAGACTGAAGTGGAAGATGGTTAGTAAAGGAAGAACAGAGTGTCACATAAGTTAATTCACATATTGTATGTTCCGAGGACTGTGCTAATTTCTATCCTCCTGGTCATAAAATTAAATGAATAAACACATAAACATATAATAAACAAACATTCATAACACAGTTAAAACATATTAATGTAATAAATATATAAAGTATATTTATACATTCAGATATATTCTTGCTGTATGTATATACTGCAAGGCAAAGTGGGTGAGTGTAGCAGATAACAGTTTTCTACTTTAGATTGAGCTGTCAGAGAACATAGCTCTTGGGAGTTACTACACATGCTAATATCTAAAGGGTAAGAGGACCATTTCATGCAAAAAAATTTTAAAAAGTGAAGTGAGATAAAGATTTACCTGTTGAGAAAAGAAAAGCAGATCATCTGGACTGGCACCTAACAATGAAGAGAGTAGTCAAAATTAATTTCCAATTATTTGAGGGCAAAAATAGTGCCACCTTTGATTCTTGTCTAACACCTCCATATATAAACTACCAGTAGTTCTTATAGGAGGCACCTTCCAAATATTTTCATGTCTGCCCTCTCTTATCAGAAGGGCACCAGCTATCATCATCTTTCACGTGGATTATTGTGAGAGCCTTCTCAGTGATTTTTCTACTCCACACTTGCTCTGCTTGTCTATTTTTAATGCAACTGTCACTTCTGTGACCTCATTTCTACCTCATCTTCTATCCTTTTTCTTTGCACATGCAGCTGTAATCACATTAAAAAGCCATAATTATGTACTATTTTTCCAATCTTTGGTTCATCATATCTCTCTCATGAAATTGTTTGAAGAATTATATAAAAATACACGTTTTTGCTGTATAATTTCTAATTTCTAATGAAATATTAGCTGCTACTAAGTTTATTGTTTTGTTATAAAAATGAATAGTCAATGGAGACAAAACATGACAGTTATAGAGACTTTTACTTTCATTGTTCTATTTCTGGTTGTCGCCATAAGTTAACATGCTGCCATTTGAATTTAAACAATATATTTTCATCTGTAAGGCACCTACTTTAAAAAGTTGTTATTAATTTTATATTAAATATGGATGGAGTAGAAATACAATAATATTGAGACTCAAAATTCAGGTTTTAAGTGACTGGAAAGGTGCAAAACTAATAGCCTTTAAGGACAGCTGCCTTATAAGCTACAGGCAAAAGGGCTTGACATATTGAATGACTCCTATATATTAATGGAATATGTGAACAGTGACATGAGATTCTTAATCTCCACAAGCACTGAAGTTGAAGGGAGTTATCAAGAGGAGGTTGCAACAAATTTGTGGGCTGTTATTATGTATTTGCAATTTCTCATGTTGAGTCCTTTATCCCTGTATTTTACATCTCAAATAAAGTAGTAAAGGGACTTGGAGAAAACAACTTACTTCACAGTGACATTTCTTATCTTATTTTCAGACTGCTTCTTGCTCTAGAGATTTCTTTTTATGCTATTTTTATCCTTTCTATTTAAATGATAGAAGGAAGTTCGTGATAAAGGACCAATCACATTTTATAAAACCCATGTGCTGTATGTGGTAGTGAGAACATTATTGTCAACTCATGGTCATTGGCACAAATTCAACACCAACAGGAATCCCCAGTTTGTGGTGTGGAAACTTTATCCAGTGCAGAGCAGTTCAGCTCTTATGACACAGCTCTTCTGTGAGACAGCCAAGGGGCCAGAACCCCCTCCAGATAGACAGTTCTGCTCTGTTTCTTACTGTTCCACTTGACCTTGTGCTGGTCCTCTCCACTCTGCTCTGGCAAGACCTGTTCAATGTTTCATCTCCAGCTAGGGATATGCAGTCTTCAGGGAAAAGCTAAAGGGCTTCCCATAACCAGAGGGGAGCTGACTTATATAGACAGAAGTTCCCACCCCTGGTTCCTGATTGGTCCATCCTCATGTAAATGAGGAAGCCAAATCCCTGAAGTTTGGTCCAAAAAGCACTGTCTTGATTAGTCAAAATGGAGACACTCTGGTCCGTGAAGATGTTGATGGGGGCATAGCTGTTCAGCTCTGAATAAATGGGCTAAGCCTCAGTCGTATTGGTTGAAACAGAATTCTGGGAACTCTTTATAAGGTCTGGCTAAGTTGGCAGAAACACTGTGCAGACAGGCAGTCAGTGTAGAGGCAAGTAGTTCAGTGTAGGCTATTAGGTTCTGCTCTTTTACATTTGAGTGCAGTTAAGCTACCAGGAGCCCTTCTCTGTAGGTATCTTCTTTTTTTAAAAAAAAATATTTTATTGTTGTTCAGTTACAGTTGTCTGTGTTTAACCTCCACCATTCCATCACACCGCTCCCAACCAATCCCACCTCCCTCCCTTACTTACATCCCCCACCTTGGTTTTCTTCTTTCTCAGGGTCCATACTATCAATTTCACTTTTACACTATTTATTGCCTTATCCGGTTCATTCTAAAATTGATGAAGTATCTCCACTCTCTGTATTTAAAAAAAGTCACACAACTCATGTATTCTATATTCTAATTACTCAATTATTTATGAAGTAGTAGTACAATGCCTAAAATTAGAGAGGACTATTTATACCAAGGTACTTAAACTCCTTTTATAAAGAATCTCTTGCCAAGAAAGAATTGAACTGTAAGTACAATGTTATAGGACATGCTTTTCTGAACATATTTGAGCTATGCAAGGAGAATGGTATTTTTTTAAAATCCTCAACCAAGGACACTCCCTTATTGCTTTTAGTGAGAGAGGAAAGGAGAGAGAAAGGAAGAGAAAGCAAAGAAAGTTTGATGTAACAGAGAAGCACCAATTGGCTGCCTTCCATACACACCAGACCGAGAGCTCACATTTGTGGACCTGGAATCAAACACGCAAGCCACGTTTGTTGCTTTACTAAGAATCTGACCCACAACCCTTTGGTGAGAGGATGACGCTCCAACCAACAGAACCACACTGACCAGAGCAAATGGTACATTTCTGATAAATAATAACAGAAATACATTTTCATTTAAAATTCATAAAAGAAGTTCCTAATCTGCATGTTTTATGTAAATCAATGCTCTTTTTTGGTAAAAGTGTAATTTTGTAGACAGAATTAAGTTTTGTTATACATGAATGTACAATATATCTATTATAAGGCACATCGTCATTTACAATGACAAAAGTGCAAATCTTAGTTTATCCTGGAGTCTATTTCTATTTTCTTTCTTATTTTTTAAAAGATTTTATTTTTTCTTTTTTAGAGAGAGGGGAAGGGAGGGAGAAAGAGAGGGAGAGAAACATCAACGTGTGGTTGATTTGTGTGTGACCCCCACTGGGGACCTAGCCTGCAACACAGGCATGCACCCTAACTGGGAATCAAACCAGGGACCCTTCAGTTAGCAGGCTGGCACTCAATCCACTGAGCCACACCAGCCAGGGCCATTTCTATTTTCTTTATAAAAATTATATTCAAACATATAAATTAGAGTTCAATACTATATTCATTGTCTAGGAAGCTAATCATTTATCTCTTAGTAAAACTGAAAACATTATATAATGGGAGTTTTAGAACAACAGTACAGTAGAACAATATACAGTAACATAATGTATCAGTTTTTATATCATTGTTAGCATATTACACAGCTTTCTACAAAGTTTCCACATGTTGTTATCAGTTTAAAAGAAATATAAACATCTGAAAATGTGTAAAATTAATGAGAAACATGCTCTTGTGTTTTATAAAAAAGAACGCATAAAACACATACTTTTATTTCATAACATGGGTTTTTTAAATCAAAATTCTTAATAAAGTATTCACTGATTAGATATTTTAAATGGGAAATCAGAAAGAATAAGTATATTTTTTAACTTGAAATACTATAAATAAGCTATAGAATGTTTTCACTATATACATATATAAATGTATATATCTTCATTCCTATACACATATACATATGCACATTCAGGCACATATAAACATTTATGTGCACATATAATATATACATATGCATATCATATATGTATACATACAAGTGCCATGCATACATATATGTTCATGAGAACTGATAAACATATTTAAGAATTAAATTTGTAGATATCACATCTACCTTACATTAAAGAGATAGCAGATTTGGCAGGATTGATGGCAATATTTTCAGTCTTCATTACTCAGTTGACAAAGTAATTAATTAAAACCCAGATAAGCTGAGCACCATGCCATGTGAGGGTGAGTTAAAAATATGGGGCCCTAGATATCAAATTCTCATAATCAGGTTGTAGAAACAAAACATCAATATACCTACAGTGACCTGAAAGTCAGATTCGTGCCAGAGTAGTTCAAGCCAGTAAAACTATTGCCAGCTATGAAGGATAAAGGGACTTGATAATGAAGCTGGATTCAGATAAAAGCATTCGATACTATCTGGACCTTTTGAATTCTCTTCCTCCCAATAGGCATGGAGATGTGGAGATAAGGATAGGCATTTGGAAGCAGAACTAGGAGATAAACAGAAATGTCTATGCATAGACATGTGCATCAGTCAAAACCACAATAGAATAAATCAAGTCATATACAAACATAAGCTAAGATTGAGCAAATGCCATGAAGTGCAGAGTTTATATGCAGGGGAAGAGGTGAAGAGTTAGTTAATAAGACTCACGGGAAGGGTATAGGCAGAGGAAAAAAAAATGACTCAATTTGAATAATGAAGTATAACATTTTCATACTATTGTGGAGTTGTTTGAAAAGCATTCAAGAATCCATGAGACAGGTTAAAATCAAGATGCAGGGGCTGGGTCCTGTTTTGCTCCTGGGTAGCATGACGTGAAAGTAGGCTCTGTGGCTGACACTCCTTCCCTTTCTCTTTCTCCGTGTGAATTTACAATACAACACCCGTCTCACCACTATATATGGTTACCTCATGTATTAGTTTTTTACTGTTGCTCTGACAAATAACCTCAAAATTGGTAGCTTAAAACAATGCAAATGTATGTTTTATACTTCTAGAGGGCAGCAGTCCTAAAACAAGCCTTTTAGAACTGCAATCAGGGTGATGGTAGGACTGCACACTTTCTCAACATAAGACTCTCGGGGGAATTAATTCCCTCGCCTTCTGACACTGCAACCTTCCTGACCCAGCCTCTTCTGTCTCCCTTTCACAAGGACCCTTGTGATTGGCTGTATCACCCACTCTAATTTCTTCATCTCAAGAAACTTTAATTACATATGTGAAATCCATTTGCCACATGAGGTAACATAATTCACAGGATTTTTTAATTAGGAGGCAGGCATTTTTGAGGATATTTATTCTCTGTAACACAGCTCACACAATGAAACTTCCAGGAACTAATTGGCAAACAGTCTTACAGAACGCCATGTCATGAGAGTTGGTTACTAGGAGAAGTCCTTGGGGTTTGGCCTGCCAGACAAGTTGTTATAGAAGAATGCAAGTTGGACAGACAGCAAGAGTTCTTTATTGTCAAGGAAGGGGATGGATTCATTTCCAAGGTGCATGTAGATAAGAAAACAGCATAAGCTATAATGTAGATGAAGAATGAAGTTCAAAAGGGAGGGATTTCAGTCAGCTGGTA